CACAGCCATCACTGACTGAATCACTGGGAAACAAAAGTGAGAAGATGTCCAAACTGAGCCCGATTAGCCATTTTCCCTCCCTGGTGTCATGTGACTCGCCAACACTCTGAAACTGAGCTGCAGCGCGATGGTCGAGACCATGCAGCAGTTTAACAGGACAGGTTCCAGTCAGAACAAAGCTCGCCATGGTCGACCAAAGAAGCTGAGCGCACGTGCTCAGTGTCATATCCAGAGGTTGTCTTTGGAAACAGATGTATGAGTGCTGCCAGCATTGCTGCAGAGGTTGGAGGCGTGGAGGGTCAGCCTGTCAGAGCTCAGACCAACCATGTCTCCTACTGAGCATCTGTGGGGCATCCTCAAATGGAAGGTGGAGGAGTGGAGGTCTCTAACATCCACCAGCTCCATGATGTCATCGTGGAGGAGTGGGAGAGGATTGAGTGGCACTCTGTGGAGCTCCGGTGAACCAACAGAGTTGAGGCAGTGTTGGAAAATAATGGTGGCCAAACATAATCCTGACCCTTTGGGCACAGTGTGGACATTTTCACCTCGCGGTGTTCTCTCTCTTGTTGCCAGTGGTTTATATACAAGCTGCACACTGACTGTATCAAAGTGTCACATCTACAATGTATCAATCATACACACACAGAAACACACACCTTTCATCAGTACACAGTAGCACAAATACTGCAGTACAACAGTACTACAGGTACATGAAGGAGGACGAGCAGGAGGGCACAGCGAGTGTCTCTGAAGCATCAGCTGATGAGAAAACGCAGGAACGCCGTCCTGTTAACCCTGACACGACTGCACGTGTGTGTGTGTGTGTGTGTGTGAGTGTGTGTGTGTTAGTGAGTGTGCATGCTGTGGGTCAGCGCCCTCAGCGTGTGGTTCTCTCTTTCCAGTTGCCGGTTCCTCTCCTGCAGCTCTCTGATTTGTTCTCTCAGAAGCTCCACCTCCTCCCTCACCGCCAGCATCAGGTGACTCTTCACCAGGTCCTACACACACACACACACATGATGTGCATAAGTAAACTAGCCAATTATAAAGCCCGTCCTACAGAGGGAGCATTGTGTGATTAACAGCATCATCAGCATAGAGGAGAACTCCTGCTCATGTGTCCTCACTGAGAGACGTTTGTAACCACAGGCCGGGGTCACATTGATGGTCGTCAGCAGCAGGGACAGATCTGAACACAGCTCTACATGCATACTTGGAATGGCATCAGATACAAACTGCTTCAACCTCAGATTGAGGACAAACTGAGCCAGGACTGACCTGACGGAGGACCACCATCAGAGTTGGCTCAGAAACCTTTACAGCTGGTGTTTAACCACTGCTGACTGTCTCTCAGTCA